GGTCTGTGCTGCAGCCAGTGTCGCTGGGCTGTGTTTCCACTGAAGGCCATGTTAGGGTCCATGGTCCTACTGCAGCTGGGGCCCATGTTGATGCTCATGTTACTATCAAAGGCCATACAGGTGTCTGTGTTCTGTACTGCAGCCTGAAGCCATGTTTATGTCAGTGGGCCATGATGCTGTCCAGGCCATATTGATGTGAATGGCCTGTGCTGCCACCCGAGACCATGTTGATGTCCTTGGCTTGTGCTGCTCTGGTGGTATCTATGGTCTATGCAGTGGCTAAAGCCCATATACTCCCCCTGGAAACCACATTCATGTCTGTGATTCCTGCTATCATCAGAAACAATATGTAAGTTCATGATCCATGCTACCGCTAACTGTAAAGGACAAGGGATTTTGGCATGGAATTGATGATTGCAGACTCATGGTTGAGAAAGAGGGGCATAGAAGGCTTCTGTGACAATCCCTAACCCTTCTTCCCCCTAAAAAAGTAACAGCCTAGACAGAAAGCCATTGAAGAAAATGCTTCAAATTTCTAATAAGGATGCTGAAGTATAGCTCTCCACAGTGGATGACTTCTGTTTGGGACGAGAGTGGAGAAAGACTCAGTTTTCTTTAAGGTGCAGGCCCCCAGGAGCTTAACCATGCTCCAGTAAATATATGTACAACACAAATTGGACTTTTTTCTTTTTCTTCTTTTTTGGGGGGCAGGGAAGTCACAGGTTTGGGGGTGGACCTGGGAGGACTGGAAAGTGAGGGTGCTTGGGGCTTGTGATGTGAAATCCCAAAGTAATCAATAAAAATATTATGAAAAGTATTATTGAAAGTATCAGAGGCAACTGTACATTTCAGTCTGCAGCTGTTTCATGAAGTTCTTGTGTCACTTAAATTACTTTGCTCATCTCATGACTGGATACATTCTATTCTATATCAACTTCTCTTTGAACTGTAAACAAGGCCGTTCCCCTAGAGATAGCTATTTGCTGAACAACAGTCTAAGAAAGCAGCTGGGAAAGCAAGTGTAGGCAGCACAAATCTTTGTTATGATTGTGCTTCAATTTCCTTTCTAAACTTTCTGTCAGGAGACAGTTTTATTTATTTCCCTTGTGGATATGCTTATCAGTTTATTTGTCTTGCACAGCAATGTCTTGGGAAATAAATGCTTATTAATCTTACTTCACCTGCTTTGAACTGTGACTTTCAAACAGCAACAGACTGTTATTGCCATCTCTCCTTCTTGTATACCAATTCACTAGTTTTAGCTGAGGTGTGTTGGCTTCGTTGCTCTTCTGGCCCTGAGTTGACTCCCACTCTGCACAACTTGCTATTTCAAAAAAGGAATCAGTGATTCCTGCACCTTAGGGCAGTGTCCTCTTCCTTTGTAGAATTCCATTCTCTGCCTGAGGTCTGTTAAGGCATGCATCTATTATGCTCAGTTGAAACCAAGTCTCACCATATTTCTCGTTGTTTTGAATTTGCTACTGTAGTAGCTCATGTAAGTAAAGGTAAAATCTCTTTGTTTTTATTCAGACTTTTAGAGAGGGGAGTAAATGTCCTGCCTCTCAAGATCAAGAAGAAAATGAATCAGAATCAAGTAGGAAAGTTGCCTTAAAAACAAGAAAAAAACAAATGAAAAACACAGTGTTGCAAGATGATATCACCCAGCTTTTCAGTATCTGGGGGCTTGATCCCTGGGGTTGTATGTGACTTCCATGGAGGTGCTACAGTTTGCTGCCTTGAATCCACTCCACAGCCTGGCTACCCATTGCAGCCCCCATCACTTAAACGCAAAGAGCTTCTTCCTTATCTGGTTAAATGTTTCAAATCAAATCAGAGATTTATTCAGTGATGTGACTGTCATGCAGCTTGCAAGTACCGAACCTTCCTGGTATGTACGTGTCACTCCAATAGTGTGGTGTTTGAGTTCCCAGGGAGGGTTACAGACTCTCACACAGGGGACTACAGAATTATGGTGGATATATCCAGTAGGCAATGAGGTCTATCTGTGTTACAGTTTCACCTGGATATTTTCTTTTCTTTCTTTTTGTAAACTTTAGTTCGCTTTGTTTTTTGACACTTTCAATCAGACATATATGAAATCCATTCTAATTACCATTAATCCTCACTCTTTAACTTCCTTCCACACCTCCTCACTGAAAATGCCTTTCCCAGATTCATGTCCTGTTTGTGAAACTCACTGAGTTTAACAGGGTTGTTTGTGCGGCTGTGGGACCCTAGCTTCATGTTTTCTCTTTCTCATGTTCTGTTATGTTACAGAAGTCTGCCTATTATTCTCTCTCAGAACGTGAGGATATGAACAGTGATGGCTGCTGTTTTCCTGACAGATTATGATTGCCATACTGCTACTACAGTGCAGGTACTGATATCTGCATGCCGTAGGTCAGAGGCTAAGCTTTAAACACAGGATGTTCTAGCAATTGTGTGGAGCTGCCAGTATTCAAAAAGATGTTTGGCTTTAAACCTGCAGCCTCTCCTCTGCATCACTTTATGACATTTTACTTTATTCTTCATTAGACATGCAAAGTGGAAGCAGAGATCACTTTCCTTTGCATTTCTAATCCACTGTGGCCTTTGGCCAGGGCACTTGGGGTATCAGAGTGATTTACTACTTTCAAGGGACCAAAGTGGATAAAGGTCAGCTACCTGTGGAGTTCAAATGTGATGTATGATTTTCTGGTGTGGTTTGTCAAGCCAAGTGATGGAGACTGTGCCCACATATATCTAGCTGACACAAAGCTGCCCACAGCTTAGGGGCCTGATTTTGCACAAGTGAACTTAAAGCTTAGGATAAAGACATCTGACTCCGCGTAGGGGCTGAGCAGTTGAAAAAGCCCGCTGCCCTTCACAGATCTCCTAGATTTGATCAGGGAAGCAGCAAGCGGATTTAGCTTGGCATGCGAAGCTTCGCAGTGAAAACATTCCAAGTATGCAACCTAGACTTGTTTTTCCCCCCCAAAAAAGGACTAATATGGAAATCGTGGCTCCTAGAGACCACTCCGGAAGTTCTTCACATTATTACGGATGCCATTTTCCCTTCATAATCTAAATGTACATGCAGTGCAGTTAATAAAATATTCTAGATATGTGTTTATTAAAAGTCAAAGTCGGGCTTATGCTATAATTTTATAGCATCAATGGTAGTAAAAGCAAATTTCACTGAGGCAGAGCGCACACATGAGAACTAGTCTGTGAGTGGTAAGTCTCAAGGTGAAATGACACTTCAGAAACTAGAACCAAATCCCTTTACAAAGACTATCACCTTGCTGAATTTCTTTTAAAGCTTTTATTTGTTCTTTATGAATTTCATATCGTGTACCACAGTCCCACTCCTTTTCTCCTCCCCTTGTACCCACACTTCAACCTGGCAACCTTCCCCCACAACAGAGAGAAAAAAATCTCTCATCATGGAAGCTGTAGTATGCCATGTTGTGTCCCACAATTCACACATTTGTCCATACTTCTTTGCTTGCAAATGTTTATTGCAATAACTCATTGGTCTGGTCTGTGGCCTCTGGGTTCTGCTACTCTATCAATACTGGAACTTCACTAGGACTATTCTCTGATAGGATATCCTGTTATTGCCCCGTGTCATGGAGAACCTGTAGTTTTCCATCTGTACACCCAGCCTCTGAATGCATTTTTTGCAGTTCATCCATGAGGTAGCTGTTGGGGTAGACCAATTCAAAGTCCTAGATCTGGGCCTGAGAAGTAGCTGAGATGGTCAACCCACTGGCTCTCCCACTTTCATGCCCGCAGGGTCAGCTCACCAGCAACCCTTGTGGCCAGGACCAGCTCTATCCTGCTGCCCAGGCAAGCTGCTGGGCCAACTTTGAGTGTTGCAGTCAGTGAGGAACAAAGCCAGTTCTCCCAGTCTCTTGAGCCTGGGATCAGCTCTCCATCCTGGCACAGATAGTAAGCATCAAGGGTGGGAAGGAGGGCTCCCTCAGGTCTACATTGCCATCCAGCAAACAAGAGGCAGGCCCAGCTCTTCTGCATGCATGCCCTTGGGGCTGGCTCATCTGCAACCTCCATATCCAGGGTCAGCTCTACTCAGCTGCTCAGGTGAGGTGCAAGACCTGCTCTCCTGCTCTCATGACCCCAGGGACAGGTCTCCCACCTGCCTCCAGTGGTGAGGGGAGAGTGGGAAGGAGAGTGTTTCTCTCTTGTCCATAACACTGCAAAGGAGACAAGTGGTGGTAGGGCTAGCTCTTCCACGCTCATAACCTGGGGCTGGCTCACTTGCCATTCCCACAGTACGCAAGGCCCACTCTCGCTACAGCAGTCTAGGGGTGGGGTCAGCTTTTCTGCTCTCAGGTCCCCAAGGACAGTTATTCCAGGATGCCCAGATGAAGGGTAGGGCCAGTTCTGCACAACCCTCAGACATGAACATATTCCTGTGAGGCAGCCAAGACCAGGGACATTTGGGACTCAGACGTGGTCCCCAGTGGCAGCACAGATCCAGCCCCTACCGTAGTCCCAGGTGTTACCAACAGCTACTCACATCAGTACCTACAAATCTCCAGTTCTGCCTCTCTTCATTGTACCTACATCCTTCTGTTTCTTTCTCTTTCATTTCTCCACCACTTACTTGCTCCTCTTAGTGGTGCCTGGGGGTCTCTAAGTATCTGTAGTGGTCTCAGGAATGCTATACTCTGCTCACACCTTATGGCACGGGGAAGGGGTCATCTCGGACATTGTCTACCCACCAAGGCCTGCAGGGTGCCAGACTGGTGGTCATCTCAGGCTAACTTCTTGTCCGGGTCCCATGGTACTGGTCTGCTGATTGTCTCAGGCTTTCTTCTCAGCAGGCTTGCCCAAGTGGCCCCTTTTGAGTGTCTGCTGTGTCTGTCTCACTGACACCTGGGGTTTATAATCCCAGGCCGGGTTCTTCTGGTCTTAAGCTTGCTCCCTGTGCTGGGATCCTGTCTGGGCCTGCCTGGTGATAGATTGGAGGTCGTCTCAGGTTTGCTTTCTCAGGAAATGCTAAGCTACTAATCATTCAGACTTCATAAGTCCGAACGCTGCGGGGGAAACATAGCCTCTCTCCTCTCTGCCACCTACTGACACACATGTGAGACGGCAGCCCCACCTGCCACACCTCTAGGGGCAGGTACATTGCTGATCTTAAGCAATATAGTCCAGAGTTAATTGTTAAGTATTGAGTCCATTAGGACATAGGAAACCAGAGCATTTTACAAAAGCGGTGCAAAATATAAATGTAAAAATAACTACTGAGCTTATAAAAATCAGAATTGAACACTTCTCTTTTGTGAGATGAAAAATTTTGTCAGTGACATTTATTCACAATAAATATATCCAGAGTGTTCTTGCAGATTATCTAAGGACCAACAACAAAGAGAAGAGAACAACAAAGATCCAAAGGGAAGGGGGAATAAAGGTACTGACTTTTTTGAATCCGTGAGTACAACAAAGTGATGGTTCATGCTCCCCACCTCCATCCCCATTCACATGCCAGAATCCTAACTCCCCAGGTGATATCTCAGGCTTTATACTGTTCGTCTCTTAACCCTCAAGTTTATGGCCTGTCTGACTGGTCAGTGGTGTAGGTAGAGACCTATTCTTATTGATATCCTATAGGCCTGTCTCTTTTCTTTCCACATTGTTCTATGGCACGTTGTCTGTAGAACTAAACTAACGTGTACCACTTGTTTCTGTAGCTTTGTTTCTCTGGGTGCACAAAAATATAGGAAAGCCATAGGCCCCTTCTCGATAACTTCTTTCCTCCAACATTACTAAGGAACATCGACATATTTTGACATCACCTGATGCTTTGTTTTATTCTAGGGTGGAAGAAAAGGTAGAGCAAGAGGCTGAAAACCAGAAAAAAGAATAGTTGACTCCCATTTGTTTCAAGGGACTGTTTACATTTTCGTTTGTTATAGAAGAGAGGGAGCCGGCTCTTCAAGAGAGTTTCAGAGACTGGCTGGCAGTGCTTCTAGGGGAAGACAGGGAAGAGTTGGATAAGGTCTGCTATTGCAGCCTTTAGTTTGGATGCTGGAGCTTTGGGAAGCAGATCTAATGTCTGGTGTGTTGGATTTTCCAGGGCCAAAGACGTAAGAGAGTTTTTGGGTCTGAAAATGCACTCCTTAAGATACTGTGTGGCAGTTCTAAGGCACCAAACTTCTTTCTGGACGTTTGTGGCCATAGCAAGCTCTGACCAGCCAGCAGATTAAAGCATGAGTAGTATCTGATTCAGAACATCAGGTGGATCACAAACCCTGTACTATTCCTATCTTTACTGTGAGAAGCTGCCTTCTAGTAGGGACTAGGTTGGGGGCTAAATTGTTCGAATTACAGGAAAAGCCAAAACTAACTATAGAAGAGGCAAGGAGTGCTATGGCTGATGTTAGCCAGATTTACTTTCATTTTAGAGTGAATGATGAAGAAATAAAAAGATCCAGATTGCAACCTATACAGAGAGCAGCATGGGACATTGAGAGGCTGAACCTCTGATGACATGTGGGAGAGAGCCCTGTCCCCTTTACTGTCTACTTATTACCATGGTTTAAGTTTCTATGAAGTCAGTGTGAGAGACAATATAGTGTGGTATCATTTGAAACTATTTGTATTAATTATCCCTGCCCCCCCAAAAGGAAAACTACCTAACAGATTTAAAGTAGTGGGGATTTCATAGAGCAACTTTATTATACTTACAGCAGAAGTCTTGAGAAACCAATAGAACACCAAAGAAGCAACTTAACAAGGAAGGAAGCCATAGCAGAAGAGACCAAAGGGGAACTGTATTGTGGGATTTCTAACTACAGCTGACCTCTATTGTTGAGCCCTAGGTAAGCAGAGTTAGAAGTATTTGGGCTTTTCACTGTCCTCGCAAGTTAACACTCATTGCCTAATGCTGTAAATGCACTGGAAACTTGGGGGAAAAATAGTGTGCAAGGATCAGTATCTCTGACTCCCGCCATAGAACAGAATAGGGGTCAGGAGAAAGACAGCGTGATGAAACCTGTCTCTTAGCCCTCTGGGCAGTATGATGGAGGAAAATTCTGTGTGCATGTGTGTGTGTTGTGGAGTGGTGATTGGGAGGGTGCAGGGTACATGGAACTGAGAGAAATTCTTAACTTCTCTTCCAGAAGAGCTTAAGTTTATACTGGCTTGATACTCAATATTCAGACCAAGGGATCATATTCAATGTGAATTCATTTCACAGACTTTAATAAACATTAGGTTCTGCCACAGTTCAGATGGGCTTATCTCAGACTGTACTCCAGATGAGCAGTAGCAAATAGATTTTTTTTTAATCCTAAAATGTGCCAGATAATTGAATTAAGAGGTGCTTCATTTTAAAATGGAAATGCTAGTACTCAGTTTTGTATTATAGTAATCAAGGAAGAATTAATCCCAGAGAAAGCAGATGTATTTAGTTTAATTTATTCATGATGTTGTCACCAGGAGGATAGATAAACTTGTTCACACAGAATACAAATTGGCTTAAAGGTTTACTGTAAAACCAACTATTAAGAGTTGAAAATGCTTAATTAGCCTTTCTCTCTTTTTCATTTCTGTCTTTTACTTTCTCTCTTTTCAGCCAAGAGAGACAGTACTGAAATGTCATTAAAAAAATGTTGATTTTGCAGTATTTCTTTGCCCTTGAGAACAGGAAATACCTAAAATTCTGTGAGTAAGATGGCGCTTATGAAATTTCTCATGTAATTTTTGTAATGAAGTGGATTAAATATGTTTGGGTGAATATCTATCCCTGGAGACTTTGTCACTCTGAAGCACCAGACCCATTGTTGTTTCCTCAAAATGTTCCGTCTCCCATATGTTAGACAATTACACTTCAGGTCAAGAAATGAGAGTAATTGAGTCTGTGCTGGTTTTGGATTTCATACTCCTTATGAATGTGAAACAGATTAAATAGAGGACACTTGAGAAGTAATGAATTCCAACAATAATATCAATTGTTGTAACAAAAAGGCCAAGTAAGTTACTTCTCAACAGCATTAAAGTGGTAGCCACAGTTTTTTTCCTCTTTTGAAGGAGAGACACTGGGCTAGATAGAAATAACAGTGAGCTTTTTGACGATCTCCCAAGCTACCCAAACAGCCTGGCTTACAAGGGGATCTCTAGTCACTAGAATCATGGAATTGGTTTAACAGTAATTCACTGAATAATGTTGCACAGAGGCCCAACGTGAAGTCTGCCGTTCCTGTGCTATCTTTATACTGTTGGGGACAGTATAGCACAACTTCTTGGTGATTAGTTACTTGGGATCCATGTTTGATGTTCACACTCATCCTTCCTAGCTACAGACAACTAACTTGTTATATTCCTATTACCACGTGAATGAAGTGTTTAGCATTGTCTAGGAGGAAGAATGATATGGAAGGAGGAAGAAATAATGGTGATCTCTGCCACAGTTATAGGCAATTGTCAACCACAGATGGGAGGGATACATGAGGCATCATGGATTTGTGGTATCAGTATGGGCATTAGGGTCATGGGAGTCATTGTATGCCTCTTCTCAACCTGTCCCTCTCCTCTCTGTGATGTACTTAAGCTACTCTGTGAATGACTACCTAGACTCCCTTAAGATAATCAGATTTTTTTTTTTCCTGAAACTGTCACTAGAGGTAGTTCCAGGTCACAGAGGGTAAGAAATACCACTTAGGATTTATACTTCAACCTCTGCTATAGGGGCAGCCAGTGACTGTTTCTAGTATAGTGGTCTAGCTCCTCCTAGTCTGTTCTTTCATAGCCCCAACTCCCACTGTCTGAGACTGAAAAACTGCTTGCCAGTTTCTACCTTCTTTCTAGTGACAACTCATCTCTTTTTCTATCCAGCTCTGGGAATCACACAAGTCTCTTACAGTTAGATTCCACACTTAGCCACTTCCCTTCTAATGACTACTTTTGGGCTCTTATAACACACTTGTGTGGAATATCACATTGTAAATGTTCCCTGTGGCATTACTAGGTACAACCACTGTATTTTTTTCTGTGCTGTTTAGGACATGGAGTCTGATGGGTGTGAGTTAATGTCTATGTTTGACTTTGATGGGTAAGGCATTTGTGCAAACATGCGAGCCATTAAAACTGTCCAAGCATATTTCCTCACCCATATAGTAGGGTTACGCCTGACCTCCAACCCTTGTAATGGAGCTTAAACAATGTTCCTATCATGGTAACTAGCACATTGAAAGCATGCGATAAATCTTAGCTTTTAAGCTCATAAGTAAAAGAAAAAAAGAAACAAAACAAAACTGGGCACAGATCTCTAAACTTTCTAATACAGAGACTCCTAGGGAAAGAAGAAAAGCATCATGATTCTATGAGTAAAACATCCATTTAAGAGGGTGTGTGGGTTGTTGGAAAGGTCACAGAATACAAATTGGAGTTGTTTGGACATACTGTCTATGGAGAAGAGCAGATTGTCTGGGACAAAAAGATGAGACAAGGGATTCCAGCAGAAGGGTCAACGGGGAGACATAAGTAAGTGTTGGCTGAAGAGCATAAGGCGTGCCTGTGGAACAAGTAGAGTAGGCAGAAGTAGTTACAAAAGCTGAGGGCACAGAAGGATAGTTTCTGGCTGTGGGAACTGTCAACAGATTAATGCAAACCCAGAATACCCAGGGAGAAAAGTTCCCCTTGTGCAAAAGAAAGCAGTCTTGCTGGTCCTCTGTTTGCCATGCAGCTTTGCTAGTGTACTTCTAACATGCTCCCAGAGCTCTTCTATGATTGGAGACTGACAACTGAGTCAGTAGGAAAAGCGTGAAAGCTTATCCCTGTGTCTAGAACCACATCAAAGGGAAATGTTTGATCATTGTTCAAATTTTAGTTGATTTACTATATTTTAACTATATCTACTTATTAGCAATGTCATACAGAGAAATCCTTCCATTGGTGCAATAGGATTTGTATGATACTATGGATCCATTTGCATAAGGTCCTGTTGGAAAATACTTTGGGAAGAGTGGTTACAATGTGATCTGAACTTGAAAGGTAGTAGGTTTGCAGTTATTGCTCATTAAAATGTGTAGTGAATCAATACATTGGCAATAGGAAATGACACATTTTTCAAAAGTTTAACAAGATAACTATACAGAAACAACAGGCTGCATAACGAAATAAT